TGGCGGCGCCCCCGCCAAGGGTTCGGATCCCACATACAGACCGGTTCCCGCTCACTGGCTGAGTGAGGCGCAGGAGCAGCACCGAGGGTTGCAATCCCGTTGCCGGTCCCGGTCCGGTGCGGGGGCGACACTGAGGGTTGCGATCCGTTGCCGGACACGGAAAAAGACAAAAATAAATAAATAAATAAATAAATAAATAAATAATCAAGATGAAATGGACCAATTCCTAGAAGCACTATCAAAACTGACTCAAGAAGAAGTAGAAAATCTGAACAGATCTGTAACAAATAAAGACATTGAATCAGTAATCAAAAACTTACCAGGCTGGCCGGTTAGTTCAGTTGGTGAGAGAGCAGTGCTGTAACACCAAGGTCAAGGGTCCAGATCCCCCTCACTGGTTAGCCACAAATAAACAAAAAACAGCTTCTCAACAAAGAAATGCCCAGGACCAGATGACATCAGTGGTAAATTCTACTATACTTTGAAAAAAGAATTAACATTAATCTTTCTGAAACTCTTCCAAAAACAGAAGAGAACACTTCCAAACTCATTCTGAGGCCAGCATTAACCTGACACCAAAATCAAATAAAGACATTACAAGAAAACTGTAGACAAGTTCATGAATGTATGTTTTTATGAATACATGCCGAAATCCTCAACAAAATACTAGCAACCTGACTCCAGAAGCGTAATTAATACATCATGACCAAGTGGGATTTATCCTAGGAATGTAAAAGTGGTTCAATATACAAAAATCAATCAATGTAATATTACATATTAATAAAATGAAGGGGAAAAACCATGAGAACATCTCAATTGATGGGAAAACCTGTAGTTTAGGAAAATTCCTTTCATAAGGAAAACAAAAAACTATATTGTAAGGGAACTTCCTAAGCACAATAAAGGATATTTATGAAAAACCCTTGGTTCACATTATATTTAATGGTGAAGATTGAAAGTTTTCAATCTAAGATCAGAAGCAAGACAAGGATGCCTGCTCTTACTTCTGTTCAACATTGGACCCTTGTACATTTGCTGGTGTGGACTTAAAATAATTTAGACACTGTAAGAAAGTTTGTTCGTTCCTCGAGAAGTGAAACCTAGAATTACCACATAACCTAGCAATTTACTCTGAGGTGTGTACTCAAAAGTATTCAAAACAGGTGTTTATGCAAAACCTTGCATATAAATGTTTATAATGTCAGTTTTCACAATAGCCAAAAGGTGGAAATAATCCCAAACTCATCAATGAATTAACAGATTAAGTGTGGTATATCCATATAATGGAATATTATTCACCATGAAAAGAAATGAGGTTCTGATACATATTACAACATGGATAAGCCTCAAAACCATTATGCTAAGTTAAACGAGGCAGACGCAAAAGGTTACATATTATATGATTCCGTTTATATGAAATATTCATAGTAGGTGCATCCACAGAGACCGAAAGCAGGTTAGTTATTGATAGGGACTAGTGAGAACAGGTAAGGAAAGAGACTGCTTAATAAGTAGGGAGTGTTCTTTTGAGGTGATGAAAATGTTTTGGAGTTAGATGGGGATAGTGATTGCACAACATTGTGAATGTACTTAATACCACTGAAGTTTGCACTTTCAAATGGTTAATTTTATGTTATGTGTCTTTTAACTCAATAAAAAACTATAGAAGAATTAACATAGAATTTTACTGGTTCAAGAATTAACTGAACTTTAGAAGACAGTACACACAAATAGATCTAATTGTGTATAATAATTTACTGTATCATGTAATTGGCATTTAAAGCCAGCAGGGAAAGCATTATTCATACTAATTGATGCTGTGAAAATTATTTTCTATTTTTCCTAAAGCAAACAAACAAGAAAAAAAAAATCACATTTTTTAACAAAAACATTTTGAAATAAAAATTAAAACTATGGGACGACAATATAATGAATATTTTCCTGACCTTGAAATAGACAGGCTTTTCTACATAAATTGTGGAACAATAAGACAGATAATATGCACCCAATTAGAAATATTAAATGGTGATAAAATATACTGGAAACAATCTTATGTGACTAAAGCAGAGTGCAAAATTTTATGACTCTAATTTTATAAAAATTGAAATATCACTAGGTATTCTATATTCTATATTATCTATGAAGAGAGTGAATGAATATGGATTATTTTGTATTTTTTATTATTTTTAGTATGTGTATATCTCTTTTAAATTAATTTGTAATACCTCTTTAATAAGAAAAAAATTGATATATTTTTAGTATGTGTATATCTCTCTTAAATTAATTTGTAATACCTCTTTAATAAGAAAAAAATTGATATATTTTTAGTATGTGTATATCTCTCTTAAATTAATTTGTAATACCTCTTTAATAAGAAAAAAATTGATAATTTAATATAAAATTGAAAAAGAAACTCCTTGTTTTGTTGTTGATAGTAATTTTCTTATAACTTTGACCAGAGAGAAATTCCTGCATTAAAAATATAATGAAAGCTAGTTTAGAATTCCAGAATTGGATCAGAGAAATACTGATAAGGAGAAATAGTTATTTAAAATATAGAACTTCAGGGCTGGCCCATGGCTTACTCGGGAGAGTGCGGTGCTGATAACACCAAGGCCACTGGTTCGGATCCCGTATAGGGTTGGCCGGTTGGCTCACTGGCTGAGCGTGCTGTTGACAACACCAAGCCAAGGGTTGAGATCCCCTTACCGGTNCCAGAGAGAAATTCCTGCATTAAAAATATAATGAAAGCTAGTTTAGAATTCCAGAATTGGACCAGAGAAATACTGATAAGGAGAAATAGTTATTTAAAATATAGAACTTCAGGGCTGGCCCATGGCTTACTCGGGAGAGTGCGATGCTGATAACACCAAGGCCACTGGTTCGGATCCCGTATAGGGATGGCCGGTTGGCTCACTGGCTGAGCGTGGTGTTGACAACACCAAGCCAAGGGTTGAGATCCCCTTACCGGTCATCTTTAAAAAAAAAAAAAATAGAACTTCAGTTGGAAAGATACTTTATGAAGGAAATAACACTTTAATGTGGACATTTTTCTAAAAGCTTTTTAACTTTTAAATCTAAAATGGTATTTTCACTCCTTGTAATTTATATTGGTTTCCCAGAAACTGCTAACCTGAAATTAGAGAAATAGCTCATCCAAATTTTCTCAATAAACAACCTTTTTCTTATAGTAACACTCTATAGGAAAGACTGATGTCTTAAAAAGAAAAAATAGAGCTTTAATATCTTCTCAAGAAATTTTAGCTCATTTGTAACAAGTTTTAAATTTCTATTAATTTACCCTTAAGTGTAAATCTCATTTTGAATTTTACTATATTAATCTCCTATATAGCAGGATTACCATGTATAATAAATTTCACAATAAACATTTAAAATTCAATGTAAGAGTATCACCTAAAATTTGTTTTACTAACTTTAAGTACAACCCTCCTTTACTGGTTGCTTCTTTCCCATTATATAGGAGCAGAACTTCTTCCACAAAAGTCCTTAAAGAAGATTGGAGTATTGCTACACCAGTGAAAGAGGTCAAACCAAAAGAAGAAAGAGGTAAAGTTGTTCCTCTCTTTAGATAAACATAATTATATTTAAAAAACACATGGACTTTTTATTTAATATATTTGTAATTCTCACAATAATCATATTTAAGACTATCATAATTATTCTGAGTATCTAATAGAGAATATAGCTCTCTATGCCATTTGATTAAGCATTCATTCCACAAATGTTTATTAATGACTATTAATGACTAGATACTGGTCTAGGTGCTGAGTGCATAATCATATTTGCCCACCTCTCAAGCAATTACTGCAGTTCAGTGTTGTCCAGTAAAACATTTTGTAATGAAGTGTTTATCTGCACTGTCCAATAAAGTGGTTACTAGCCACATATAAGCCGTTTGAGCACCTGAAATGTGGCTAGTGAGACTGAGGAACATAATTTTTAAATTTAATTTTAATTAACTAACATTTAAATGTAAATAGTTACATGTGCATGATGGCTACCATGCTGGACATCACAGCTTTAGTATATATTTAACTTGTGACTAATATTCTTTCACAATTTATAAAATTTACAGTATTTTATTCATATAAAATATGAGTATACCGGTATAAAATTTGTGTTATTACTTCAATGTTTTTGAATATATTCTTGAGACTAAATTAAACACCTTCTCTTCCCTCTGCCACAAAAATTTACTAAAAACCTTTAGTAACTAATAAACTCAGAAA